CTCCCGGGAGCCGCCAGCCTGGTCCCGGGAAGAGGGGGTGGGCTGGGGGACATCGGGTGGGTGGCTCTGTGCTGTGCCAGGTGCAGGGTCTGCTGGCTGGGGGCTTGCAGGCTTGCACCTGGCATGGGCACCGTAGCCAGCCCGTGCCCCTTTAAGGGGTCCGGGGCCGGGAGGGGGGCATAGAGTTTCCCTGGTGTTGGCCAGAGTGGCCACCAGGGAAACCTGGGGAGAGCTAGCCTCCCACTAGTTCGAATTAAGGGGCTATACACCCCTTAATTCGAACTAGTAAGTTCGAACTAGGCTTAATCCTCGTAAAATGAGTTTTTCCTAGTTCGAACTAAGCGCTCCGCTAGTTCGATTCAAATTCGAACTAGCGGGGCGCTGGTGTAGCGGCTATGAATGTTAGTTCGAACTAACGTCCGTTAGTTCGAACTAACATTGTAGTGTAGACATACCCTAGGTAATTTATTCTAGTGCTTAATCACCCTGATAGTTAGGAAGTTTTTCCTAATGTCAGAACCTAAATCTACCATACTACGATTTTAGACCATTGCTTCTTAGCCTATCACCAGAGAGGGGCGCTGGTGTAGCGGCTATGAATGTTAGTTCGAACTAACGTCCGTTAGTTCGAACTAACATTGTAGTGTAGACATACCCTAGGTAATTTATTCTAGTGCTTAATCACCCTGATAGTTAGGAAGTTTTTCCTAATGTCAGAACCTAAATCTACCATACTACGATTTTAGACCATTGCTTCTTAGCCTATCACCAGAGATTAAGGGGGATAATTTTTCTCCTCCTCCTTGTAACAACCTTCAGAGTTGCTATCATGTCCCCTCTTTGTCTTTTCTTTTCCATCCAGATTAAACAAACTCAATTTTTTTCCAGTCTTCCCTCATAGTTTTCAGATAGCTAAAAGGTTGTCACAAGAAGAAGGGAGAAAAACTATTCTTTGGCCTCTGAGGATAGGACAAGAAGCAATGGGCTTAAACTGCAGCAAGGGAGGTTTAGGCTGGACATTAGGAAAAACTTCCTAACTGTTAGGGTGGTTAAATACTGGAATAAGTTGCCTAGGGAGGCTGTGGAATCTCCATCTCTGGAGATATTTAAGAGCAGGTTAGATAGACATCTACTAGAGATGGTCTAGATGGTACTAGGTCCTGCCGTGAGGCCAGGGGACTGGACTTGATGACTTCTCGAGGTCCATTCCAGTTCTAGTGTTCTGTGATTCTATAAGTTTGTTGTTGTTGTTGCTTTTCCCTGGACTTTTTCCAATTTGTCCACATCTTTCCTGAAATGTAATACCCAGAAACGGACACAATACACCAGCTGAGGCCTAATCAGAGTGGAGTAGAGTGGAAGAATTATTTCTTGTTTCTTATTTACAACATTCCTACTAATACATCCCAGAATGTTTCCTCTTTTACCCAGTGTTACACTGTTGATTCATATTTAGCTTGTGGTTCACTATGACCCCAGATCCCTTTCCACAGTGGTCCTTCTTTGGCTGTTACTTCCCATTTTGTATGTGTGCAATTGACTGTTCTTTCCTAAGTGGAGTACTTTGCATTTGTCCTTATTTAACGTCATCCTATTTACCACAGACTATTTCTCCGGTTTGTCCAGATCATTTTTAATTACAATCCTGTCTTCTAAAGTACTTTCAACCCCTCCGAGCAGCAAATGGGGCTAAGGCAGAATGGAGCAAAACTACAGCCCATTTCTCCTTTCAGTCTGCCCTGCGATCCTACTGGGGAGTGGGGTCAGGACACCCTTGCTGGGAGAAGCCAGAGCTACTCCTGGGCAGCATGCCAAGCAGCAGTGGCTGCCCCCCCCCAATCTTCCTCAGTGCTGGGATGGCACAGTCCCTCACCACCAGCCATGATACTCCAGGCAGCGGGAGGGGAGCAGGTAGGCGGTGCTGGGGGTGGACAGGAGACTGGGGCATGCAGTACTAGGTGGAGTCGGTGCCAGGTGGTACTGATGGAGGCAGGCCTGGCCACACGTGGCTGTCCTGGGAAGCCCGCCCGTGTGGCCCTGAGGCCAGGGCATTTGCCCATGCTGGAGAAGGGACAGGCGGGGGGCGGGGGAGCACGAGGAGCGCGCCCGCAGCTTGTTCCCGCACTTTCGCGCATTGGGCGGCGAAGTCTAGAGCGGGAAAGGCAGGTCGCCGCCCCATTGGCTGACGCCTCCTTCTCACCTCCTGATTGGCGGCTGCGTGCCCCACGGTTCTTCTCATTGGCTCCCGTCTGTCCCTCACCTTGCGATTCGCCCTACTGTAGTCCTGAGCACCTGTAGAGTGCTTAATAGGCTGCTGTGCAGCCATGCAGCTGTGCTGCTTAGAGGGAACTTAGAAATGGAGTAGTTAGACAGCAGTTAATGAGTCATCAACACCCATCACAGAAAGAATCCACTATCCCAAAAGCTATATACTTCTTAGAGGGAGCATATATGCAATGAAGATTGCTTGACTCATGTCATAGCAAAAGATTTTTCCAAGAACCGGAAGAAACTATAAAAGAGGAGAAGTGACATCATGACTTGGGTTCTACCCCACAACTTAACACCTGGATAGAAACACATCTGAAGGAGGAGGTGGTGAAGGGGGTTCCTGGATTGGAAGGCAGTTCCAATTTATTCACTGAGGATCTGAGAGAGGTTTGTACCTTCTGTCAGGGTGAAACACTGCTTGATTCAAATCCCGTTTTGTTTGTTGAACTCGGATTGCAAATATATTTGTATTAAGTAACCAACTGTGATCTCTACGATTGCTACTTATCACTTATCTTTCTGTCCTCCTCACATCAAGGAGGGGTGAACTTGGAAATAAATGTACATTGGCCACATTTCTGACCAGTGCAAGATAGTATAGTTCTGGAGTTCAAGAATGGTGGATGGGTGGGAGGGGAATTGTCTAGAGCCTCTCTATTTTTGGTTTATGAGTGCTAGGACAGGGCCCTTCACCTGCCTGGTGATTTGTGTCTCTCCTAGGATTGTATGAAACGCAGCCCCATTCCAGACACAGCCCATCGTCCTGGCACAGCTTCCCTTCCCTCTGCTTTAAGCGATGACAGGAGGAAGCTATAGACCGAGTTTGACTAGCCTAGCTCTTACCCTTTAGGTTAGGAGGAGTTCTTGAATAGACAGACTTATGGACAAACTCCCACGTATATAGTAGGTGTCTCTCCTAGGATTGTATGAAACGCAGCCCCATTCCAGACACAGCCCATCGTCCTGGCACAGCTTCCCTTCCCTCTGCTTTAAGCGATGACAGGAGGAAGCTATAGACCGAGTTTGACTAGCCTAGCTCTTACCCTTTAGGTTAGGAGGAGTTCTTGAATAGACAGACTTATGGACAAACTCCCACGTATATAGTAGATCAACAAGAAAGGTAATAAACTGGGGACAAAAAATTAAAAGAACTAAGCCTTTGACATGTGTGTAACTTGCTGTACAAAATGAGTGCCAGTGGAATAAATACTACTTTTTATTTCAGTTGATCTGAAAACTTGGTCAAGATCAGTAGACTTTTGTCAAATGTCTATGATATTCCTAAACATACACTGGGAATGTTAAACTATTTGGGAAAGCACTATATATTTTTATGTTATGGCTCTGAGCAGGAGTGCCATATCCTATATGCATTCAATATTTATTCTTGCATAAATGTTTAGTTTTATACCTTGGAAAATTGAAGTTTAAGTACTAAAGTCTCATTTAGCAAAACCAAGCTGAAATCAGTATGGCATTTTTAGAGGAGCAAAATTAAATGTAAGAGAGAGCCCAGGAAAATCTGAAGATAAAAGATTTGCTGGACTGTGCCCATCAAAAATCATAAAAGACTCAGAAAACTTGACCTGTGAGAAAAGGTTACAATTTGTGCGTATTTAATCTTGAGAATAGAAGACCGAGGAGAGAACTTGATAAATATATTAAGGGCTTTTGTAAATAGAACTGTAATTGATTATTTTGCATGTCCACTGAAGGTAGGATAAGAAATAACTCTTCCTTGCTGCGGATTAAGTTTAGGTAAGATTATTAGGAAAAACTTTTTAGTTAGAAAATTAAGTACTGGAATAGACTTCCAAGGGAGGTTGTGGCATTCCTTTTACTGTGAGATTTTAAGAACTGAGGGTATGTCTACACTGCCACCCTACTTCGAACTAGGGTGCAGGAGGTTTAATGGTAGTTCGAATTAGGAGCTTTAATATGATAGTAATATGATAGTTGCTGAAACTTTATTAATAGAATCAAGCTGGCCTAACATCTTCTAGTGTGAAAGAAAAGAAATTTCATATGGAGTATCAATCTGTTTACAAGACAGATTGACTTTCTTCCCTTCAGCCCTCAGTGTGAATCTTGCTTGCTGCAGCCCTACTTATTATAGAGTTTGAAGATTCACTTGTACTGTCATTAACTTCTCGTATAAAATTGATTAAACTGAGCAGCAACCACTGTATTTAAATATCTAAATGAATTGTACATGAAATTATGATTGACCATAAATACTAAAAAATAATGAAATAGCGGTCCATCATTCTCTCTTAGCCTTCCCTCACAAGTGGTCTTTGATATCAAGAATACCGGGAGCCACTGGTTTAGATGAAAAAAATGTCAAGCTTGGCTACCTATGGTTAGGTATCAAATCTATATTTTGTTGCCTAAATAAGAGGCTATTTTCAGAGCTAGTGAGCACTCTCAACGAGGAATTTAATAGTGTAGTCAACCTATAAGCAAAAGCTTATAGGTTAATGGTATGAACTACACACACTTCCCTCCTCTTCTCTCTCCTACTTGCCAGTAAATTTTTTAGCATGCTGGCCAGCAGCCCGGTTCAGTTCTGGCTCGTGCTGGGTCGGGGGGCTCAGAATTCCCCTAGACAGGGGCTACTGCCACCCTGTGCTGCTTCCTCTTTATCAGAGGCAGCAGCATAGGACGACAGGCAGCCGTTCCGTGAGGGGAGCTGGTTTTTAAACTGGCTCCCCTTGCAGATTAGCTCCTGCCTGGTACTCCTTGCTGCTGCTTCTGATACAGAGGCAGTAGTGTAGAGTGGCAAGGGCTCCTTGGGAATGAGGCCAAAGCGCACTGGCTGCCACCCCTACCTCCAGGGACTATAGTTAATAGTTAACTAAGGGTACGTCTAGAGTACATGCCTCTGTCGCCAGAGGCATGTAGATTAGGCTACCCGACATAGTAAAATGAAGCGGCGATTTAAATAATCGCCGCTTCATTTAAATTTACATGGCTGCCGCGCTGAGCCGACAAACAGCTGATCAGCTGTTTGTCGGCTCAGCGCGGCAGCCATGTAAATTTAAATGAAGCGGCGATTATTTAAATCGCCGCTTCATTTTACTATGTCGGGTAGCCTAATCTACATGCCTCTGGCGACAGAGGCATGTACTCTAGACGTACCCTTAGTTAACTATTAACTATAGTCCCTGGAGGTAGGGGTGGCAGCCAGTGCGCTTTGGCCTCATTCCCAAGGAGCCCTTGCCACTCTACACTACTGCCTCTGTATCAGAAGCAGCAGCAAGGAGTACCAGGCAGGAGCTAATCTGCAAGGGGAGCCAGTTTAAAAACCAGCTCCCCTCACGGAACGGCTGCCTGTCGTCCTATGCTGCTGCCTCTGATAAAGAGGAAGGAAGAGGCATGTAGTCTAGACGTACCCTAACTGATAATTCATGAAGTTACTCAACTTGTCAGTTAACAGATATTTAACATCCCTACTGTCATTATCAATAGGAGTGAAGTGCTCAATATCACTGTAATCAGCCTTAGGTGCTTAATTTCTTGGCACCCAAGATTAAAAACTTTGGTTTTACCTGTATCTATTATACTGGCAGATAGCAATCAGTTATCTACATGAAATTTGATTTTTTTTAAAGGTTTTGGAGTCAAATGAAGAATCAGGCCATATTATTCTCACCATTGTTGTATCTGGCCATTTATTCATTTCCCAAAGACGGGCGGTACAGGTAGGTTTTCAGTTTAAATTTCTCAATTCGTGTTAGTATCAGTCTTAATTCTTTTGTCCTTCCTCAATTTAATGTCTGTTACTGAAAGCAAGCTGTACCAAATTTTTACTTAGCACATAAAAATTCACATGGTAGAAGTAGTACCCTTTGAACTTATCTATATAATACTTCAAGTGCACTTTTCTTTCCATATTGAATGTTAGTGTTTCTCTTCTGTGATGGAGAATGCTTTTAAGCTGGCTCCTCCCAGCACTGGCTCCTGCTTTTCCCCTCCCTCCTGCCTTGTTGCCAGAGGCAGCAAGTGGGGGAGGGGGAAGAAATGCTAGTAGTTGAGTAGTTGACTTGACTAATCACTTACATCTTTATTATGGCTATGCTTTCAAAATTTGTTTTGTTGTACATGTTCTTCTGTGGTGTTGCCCAAGATTTCATTGAATCTACCACTCACAAAAATAAATCGGTCCAAGAAAAGGCATTCCCTCGTCCACTTTGCACAGTAATAGAGAACAGTCATTTTCCTTTTAAAATTTGATGAAAACAGAAGCATCTAACAGATCCTAAATGAGGGTAAATGGATGTTCCATGAATTGGCATAATGATTGCCTGTTTTATAATTCTATAATTAACAGAAAATTCCTAAAGTGTGATTCAAATCCAGTTTTCCAATGTTAAGTTTTTCATCTGGAGTCCTATTTTATAGGGTAACGTTTTTTTACACAAGTTTTTACTATAGATGTCAGGGTGAATATTGGTTACTTATTTTGTTTAAAAATCATTTAAAACATTAATTATAATTTTTAAGAAGAAATCTGTTTAACTGAAATCTGAATTTAACACATGTTAAGGTCTAAAATATTATCTCAAGGTTTGTAAATAAAAAGTAAATATGCTGAACTTCTATCATAAACTTGGAGTTAATGGCAGCATTTCTTTACAAAGAAAAAAATCAGAGCAAAAATATGAATGAGGTGAGACAATTTAATGACAGTAGATGTAAAGGTCATTGTGTCCAGTCCCCTGCCCTCACAGCAGGACCAAGCTGAAGACATCTATCAGGAATGGTACATCTAACCTGCTCCTAAATATCTCCAGAGATGGAGATTCCACAGCCTTCCTAGACAATTTATTCCAGTTTTAACCACTCTGACAGGAAGTTTTTCCTCATGTCCAGCCTTTAACTTCCCTTGCTGCAGTTTAAGCCCATTGCTTCTTGTTCTATCATCAGAGGCCAAACAATTTTTCTCCCTCCTCCTTGTGACATCCTTTAAGATACTTAGAATATATATAAAATACTAGAACTGGAAGAAACCTTGAGAGGTGAAGTCCAATCCCCTGCTATTATGGTTATCTGAAGAAGTGGATTGTGCCCACGAAAACTCATGATACTTTCTACATGTTTTGTTAGTCTTTAAGGCACTACTAGACCGTTTGTCGTTTTTCCTGTTACAGACTAACTCGGCTACCCCTCTGAAGCTTATGGCAGTATCAGGCATCATCCAGATCATCCCTGATAGGTATTTGTCTAACAACCTACTCTTAAATTTTGCTAGCGATGGAGATTCCACAAACACCATAGGCAATTTATTCCAGTGCTTATATACCCTGACAAGAAGGAAGCTTTTCCTAATGGCCAACCAAAACTTCCCTTACAACAATTTAAGATAATTGGTCCTTGTCCTACCATCAGAGGTTAAGGAGAATCATTTTTCTTGATCCTCCTTGTCGCAACCTTTTTGGTGCTTGAAAGCTATTATCATGTTCCCTCTTCGTTATTTTTTCCAAATTAAACAAATCCAATTCTTTCAGTCTTTCCTCGTAGGTCATATTTTCTAGACTTTTAATCATTTTGGTTGCTCTTCTCTGGACCTTCTCCAATTTGTCCATATTTTTCCTAAGATGTGGTGCTCAGAACTAAACACAGTACTTCAGTTGAGGCCTAATCAAGTGAGTAGAGTGGAATAATTACTTCTACTTTGAGAGATACCCCTGTGGATGCTCCACTGTAGGTGTTGGGCTCGTCCCGGTGCCACAGATCAGAGTCTTCAATAGCAGTAGTCATCCGGACCACGCATGTGTAGTCAGCGTCTTGTCATGTTCTCACCCTTTCTCTCGTGTGCGCGGCTTGGCTCTCACCAGTTCCTTCGTTGCCACCCTCGGTCACAGACAGAGCAAGCTCTTCTCCTCAACTGTTGATCACAAAATTAAGAGTTCTATTAGTTAGTTTACTGTTCCTGTAACATAGTTTATAGTTCATAGCATAGTTAGTTAATTAGTTTGTAGTTACTTGTTAAAAAAAAAAATTCTTACAACCTGTAAAGGGCTCTGCCCTTCTTATGAGCACCCCTCGGTGGCGGAGGGGAGTCTTGTAGTTTCTACTCGACTGTCTGCAGAGAGGAAGTGTCCAGTATATGGCCTGGGACCAGGTCTCTTCTTTTGGCCCCTGGTGTGGTTGCTAGGATGTGGGGAGGACCCAGACCCGCCCACTCCTTTGGGTCCCAGCCCAGGAACCCTATAAGTAGCAGTTCTTCTTCGGGTAGTCCCCGTGGGTGCTCCACGTCTGGTGTCAGGCTCGTCCCGGCGCTGTGAATCGGAGGCTTCACATCGCCATGTTCCGCCGGACAGCGCATGCACAAGCAGCACTAGAGGCTGTTTGTGACTTTCATCTGTAGTGCGCAGTCTGGCCCCGCTCAGTTCCTCTCAGCCGCCCCTGGTGGCAGACGGAGCTCTCCCCTCTCTTCAGCCTTATTCAAGCTACCTATGAATAATTAAGGGAAATACTAATTAGCTGTTATTTGTTCCTCCTTCTACATACTTTCAGTCATTTAAAAAAAAAAAAAGACAGACTTTATGTACATGTTTATCTCCATTAGTTACTGTTAGCCTTGTAGTTCTTAGTTCGGCAGATTAGCCGCCTCAAAAACAAAAAAACCAAACACAACACACCACCCCACACACAACAGCAAAAACAAAGAAAAGAAGGGAAAGAAAAATAGAAAACTGACAGAAACATATTTAAAGGAAACGAGAGTGTGTCATACACCTGGAGCGGGAAAATGCCTGGCTCCCCAGGCTTTAAGAAATGTTCTATGTGCCGGGAGGCAATGCCTGTCTCAGACAGCCAAGCTGCCTGTATCAGATGCTTGGGGGAGGCACACCTGCCCCAAAAATGCACCCATTGTGCTAAATTAACAACCAGAGCCCGCAAGGACCGTGAAAGACGCCTAAAAATGATTTTGTTTGACAAGGCACTGATGCCTTCCGATGCTTCCTCCTCGGCTGCGCCTGACCCCGCTATGAGAAAAAGGCGGGCTACCTCTCCGGCGACGGCTTCCCTAAAGAGGAAAAGAGTCTCCCTCTCCCGATCCCTGCCAGCCCTCCTGCAGACACGGGTTAGTGCAGGAGATAAAGCCGGCACTTCGGGCTCCACCTCCAGCACTACTAAGCCCAGGACTTTGGGCTCCACCTCCGGCACCACACGCATGCAGGGTGCAAAGAAGCCAGCCCGCACCGAGCCATGAGCCCGACCCCACACGGCACTGCCATGCCGTTCTAAGGAGCCGGCACCGGCAGGTCCAGTACCGGTCTCCTCAGCTCCTCCAGCTGCAGTGCCTGCCTCTGTCAGCTCAGGAGCTGTCCTCAGCACCATTGGCACCATAGGTGCCTGAGCTAGAGCAAGTTCTCTACTCTTCAGTCTGCAGCTGTTTCAGCACCAGTGCCCTCTCAGCTGCCTGCACGCCCAGATCTGCCAGCAATGGCACCGAGGAAGGCAATCTCTAAATCACACACTCACGCTGTCTCACGCTCCCCCTTCACGGTCTTTTTCTCTACAGCCATCCCCACAGCCTCATTCTTCTGCACCATCTGGCCACACCAGGGAGCAAGTGACTCGTTCACGGCGTAGTGAACCTTATTATCGCCACCATAGAGAACCTAGCTGGGCACACCCAAAGCACTCTCGATCACGGTCTCCTTCCCAGCACCTGTGCTCACCTGTATGTTCACCATGCCGTACTTACTACATTAGGCATGGCAGTGTCATATCGTCTAGGCAGTCGTCCCCTGGTCGTTTGGACCATCACTACAGTCATTATCATAGACCCTACTACTATGTATCATCTCATCACAGCCGGTCACACTGTTATCGAAGATAGAATGGCAGGAGCATTGCGATCAGCCCACGTTCGCTGCATACCGAACCTAGGGGACAGTCGGCAGCTCAACCCTCGCCTCCTCCAAGGAGCCCAGATGCCCACTTGAACATTCAGAACCGGAGGAGGGGCAGCTATCGGAAACTGAGACAGACATGTTGGCTAATGCGCATTCATCACTTCCTTCACCGAATGAAGCTGTAACCCCAGCTTACACCTCACCTCCAGATGACCTGAAGGAATTTCAGGATCTTTTTTAAATGTGGCACAGAGCCAAGAGCCAACTGACTGAAGCCCAGGTGAAACAACATAAGCTGCTCAAAAAATCTACATCGATCCCACCAACCAGTAAAAAAGCAGACAAATACTTTGTTCCATCTAAAGGCTTAGACTTCCTCTTCAATCATCCCCAACCTAACTCCTTGATAGTAGATGCAGTCCATCACAAGACCAGGACGCCTCACTTCAGAAATTCCCTTCCAGATAAGGACACGAGGAAGCTTGATCTCTTTGGATGCAAGATGTATTCGTCAACCCTACTACTGCGAATTGCTAATTACACTGCTCTTCTCTCAAATCATAATTTCAACAATTACGCTAAATTACCGGAACTTCTCCTTGAGGCTAAGAGACCTCTGCTAAAATCGATAGCTCATGAAGGTTACACTGCTTGCAGAGCATCTCTCCAAATCACTCTTGATGTCGCGGATACTGCTGCACGCGCCATGGCAACAGGCATCGCCATGCACTCAGGGCCTCTTGGCTACTGGCTGCGGGAGCACCAAGGGAGTTACAAAGTAAAGTAGAGGATCTCCCATTTGACCAAAAGAAGTTATTTGCCACCTCAATGGATGACATCCTGCATTCCGGGAAGGACTCCCGCACCACTCTGCGGACCCTAGGAATGTATACACCTCATTTTAAGCATAGACATTATTATGCCTTCCAAAGGAGATATGATTACATGTTCCACAAGCAACAGCAGTGTTCATCTGATCAGCCCTGATTCAGGCAGCGCCTGCAACACAAGCGTCAACAGTCAAACTGTGCACCAGTTCGGCCTAGCACAAAGCTGCAAATTTTAGTCCTGTGTCGAGGACATGAACACATTTCCAGTGGTCAGTGTGGAAGAACCTCCCACCCTCCTGTTCCATCATCGCCTGAGGCCATACTGCCATGAGTGACGCAACATCACCTCAAACAGATGGGTCTTAAAAATAATAACATCAGGCCTCACAATACCTTTCATCTCCCTGCCTCCCACCTCCCCACCCTCCCTGTCCCTTTTCAGGGACCCATCTCATGGGACCCTGCTCCAGGAAGAAGTTTGTCATCTTCTTGCCATTGGAGCCATAGAAAAAGTACCTATGAAATTCCGAGGGAGAGGGTTTTACTCCAGGTACTTTCTCGTCCCCAAAAAGACTGATTCTCGATCTAAGAGGCCTAAATCATTACATCAAGAAGCAACGCTTCAAGATGGTCACGCTGACAAAAATTATACCATCACCGAACAAAGGAGACTGGTTTGCGGTCCTCGATTTGCAGGACACATGTTTTCATATTACTCTACACATAGCACACAGACGCTTCCTGCGTTTTGTAGTCGGAGATGAGCACTTCCAATACAGAGTACTTCCCTTTGGCCTGGTCTCAGCCCCCAGGGTATTCTCCAAAACACTGTCGGTTGTTGCCGCGCATCTCCGCAGAATAGGGATGTCAATCTTCCCCTACCTCGACGATTGTCTGCTTGGGGGTCGCACTCAGTCGGAGACTCACAACATGGTGGCCGTAACGAGAAGTCTCTTCAAGTCCCTAGGCCTCGTTACAAACATGGAAATGTCGCATCTAGAACCAGCTCAGACACTGACCTTCATAGGAGCTCTACTCGACTCATTATCAGCACGAGTCTAGCTACCTGCAGAGCCCTTCCAAGCTATGCGCAATCTGATACAGACAGTGCTGCAATCTCCGACACTTCCCATGTGCATCCACTTACAGCTTCTGGGTCATATGGCTGCCACCATGGTACTTGTCCGCAACACAAGATTACATTTTTGATGCCTCCAACAGTGCTTGAGCACGGTATACAATCCCGTGAGGCACAGCATTCACAAAGTGGTAGTGCTACCACCGTATGTTCAAGACTCCCTCCACTGGTGGAGCAAACCCAAGAACCTGTTGGTAGGTGTTCCCTTTCACCAAACCCAACCCTCGAGGCAGATAACGTCCCCATGTGCGGCCCCAACCGGTGAGTGAGACATCTGTCGTTAATAGCTCAGGGTCGGTGGTCCGAAACAGAAATGCTGCTGCACATCAACTTGCTAGAGCTCAGAGTGATATTCCATGCCTGCAGACACTTCAAAGCACACATAAAGGACAAGATCACTAGGATCCTCACGGACAATGTTGCCGCCATATATTATGTCAACAGGCAAGGAGGGGCCAGATCTCGGTCCCCCTGTGCAGAGGCGGTTCGGCTATGGAATTGGTGCATCCACAACGATATTACCATTATAGTGTCATACCTGCCCGGTGTGAGCAATGCTATCGTGGATTCACTTAGCAGATACTTCCCCCACAACCACGAATGGGTGATCCGCACAGATGTTCTTCAACATATCTTTCACCATTGGGGCCGCCCCACAATAGATCTTTTTGCGACGTATGCCAACGCGAAGTGCAAGGCGTACTGCTTGAGAACGGGAATCAGCGCACATTCCTTGGGAGACACATTTCTCTACCATTGGGGGAAGTCACTATTATATGCATTCCCCCCTGTTGTTCTCATTCCAAGAGTACTGGAAAAAATTGTCATGGACAAGGCTCGGGTACTGTTGATATCCCCAGCTTGGCCCTGACAGCCATGGTACTCCACCCTCCTACAACTGTCCGCTCAAACACCATACCGACTTCCTCTCTTCCCAGACTTGCTAACGCAACAGAATGGCTCCCTACTCCACCCAAAGCTAGAGACCACTTGCACTTGACTGCCTGGATGATAGATGGCTCCATGCATCCGAGAATCTTTGCTCAGAGCAGGTGAAATGCATTCTGCTGCATAGCAAAAAGGATTCCACAAGAAAAACATACTTAGCAAAATAGTCTAGTTTACACAGTGGTGTAACGCTAATGATCTAAATCCTTCCGCCTCACCATTACATGCTGTACTTGACTATATTCTTCACCTGCAGACAGCGGGGCTCTCGATACCATCCCTGAGAGTTCATTTGGCAGCCATCACGGTATTCCATCATCCCGTTGAGGAACGGTCTGTATTTTCCCATCCTACCACAAGGAGGTTTCTCAAAGGCCTCACTAACCTTAACCCACCACTCAGATCCCCGCCACTTATGTGGAATCTTGACCTCGTTCTAGATGCCCTGACACGCCTGCCATTTGAACCTCTGGCCACGGCCTCCCTAGAAGCTACTAACAACGACAGTAACCTTTCTCCTTGCCATAATCTCTGCACGTAGAATCAGCGAGCTGGCGGAGCTTATGGCATCGCCCCCATATACTATTTTCAGTCGAGACTCTGTGACATTGAGGGCTCACCCAACCTTTCTACCAAAAGTCTGTAGTGATTTTCATATTAACAAGCCAATCG